CCTCGCCAGCCGCTTGCCCCCACGCTGGCCGCTAGCAGGCCGCGCGCATCCTTCGGCGCTGCGCCGCAACCGTAGGTGGTAGGACCGGGATCCACTGTCTGCAGTCGGAACAAGGCGCGTTAAAAACAAAAAAAAAAAGTTGGAGCTCAACTACTGCCCAGTATGCACTCACCAATGCTTTGCACAAGTGGAGCAGTAATCTAGGCAGTAGGAGTCAGCAGGGGTGGGATGTAACCAGCAAGCGGAAAAGCTGTCCCATCCCCACAACAAAATCAAAGATGGCACATGGACGATGCTTGAGAATGTGCGGCAAACAAAGGATGCTTTGTATTCCGTAATCGGCGATCAAAGCACCAGACACTGAAAGATCCACATATCGGACCTAAGAGTGCAGGATCTTCCTCATGGGTAACAGATGAGGCAATCCCTACACGGCTAAAGTACCCAGGATGTCTAAACACCTTCATCGAGGTGATATCGGGACATCAACTCAACAACAGCATGAAGGCCGTAGGACCTCCACACTCACAGATAAAGCGCACTAGCATCACTCACTTACTCAGGAAATGCTAGGCCAGGATAGCGGAGTCAGGGTCACCAGATCGAATGCCTTGTCGTCTGTGCATCACGCCTTCTCGCAAGACTTGCAGTGGTTGCCAGGCTTCCGTTTCATAATCCAGACACTCTCGCCTGACAAGTCTCTATGTTGCTTGATGCAGTGCAGCTCGAAAGCCAACGTCTACTGGAAGCCAGCCACAAACTCCACAAGGTGACGTATGTAAGCATGTCTTCCAAAGCCATGTTCAACATGGCCACCCTGTACCGAGTGCCCTTCGCATCCGTGAACGCCACCACGTCGGGTGAAGTGCCGGAGTTGTCAGGTTTCCGTTTGGTGATCCAAATGCCCTCGCCCGACGAGCCTCCACTCTGCTTGATGCGGCGCTGCTGGAGAGCCAGCATTTTCTTGAAGCCAGCCGCAAACTCCTCTCCGGTGAAGTGCGCAAGCATGTCCTCCAAACCTATGTTCAATATGGCCACCCTGCACAGCATGTCCTTCGAGCCCACAAGCCGCATCACGTGCGGTGAAGTGCATGAGCTGCCAGGTGGCCGCTTGGTGATCCAGATGCCCTCGCCTGATGAGCATTTGTTCTGCTTAATGCCACACAGCTGTAAAGCTAGCCTGTTCTTGAAGCCAGACGCAAACTCTTGTGCCGCGTTGTATGCGAACATGTCCTCCGAACCGATGCTCAACATGTCCACCTTACACAGTGTGTCCTTTGCGCGCATGATCGCCATCATGCCGGGTGAGGGCAACCCCCGAATGCCCAGCTTGTGCATGGCACGCATGCCATCATGCACTACTTGCCCGTAGCCGGCAGGCGCACCCATGGCGGGTGCTGGGGCTCTCCAATCTTCCGCGCTTTGCGGCAATTTGGGCCCTCGGGGCGTGGTTAGTGATTACGCTTCTGCAGACGCCCGTGAGCCGTCCCCGCCGGCCCATGTCTTGCCTCGGTGTTGCCACCGGTTGAGATCGCTCCATGCAATGGTCGCCCTTGCCGATGCGAGGCTCGGGCGGCATCGAACGCTGGGAAGCGTGCTGGATTTGCATGCGGTGCCACGCGGAGTTGCGGCCTCGCTGGGTATGTTGTGGCCTTGTTGCCGCCGCCTCCTCACATGCACTCTGCCCGCGTCGTGCCTGCGCAAAATGTTGCTTACCGCGAGCTTGGCCCCCCGCTCGAGCCACTTACGGCGCCAACTAATTCTTATGCGACTAACTCACTCCGTAGGCGCTCAGTACGGCTCCCGTCCCAAATGTGAGGAGATTTTCATGTCATAATCCGTAAAAGCATTCGTGGGGCTCATGGTGACAACATCAGTGAACAAGCATCCGTATGCCAGTCTCTTTCAGCAGATGGGCAAGACATGGTTGATCCAAGTGACTGTCATTGCAGCCGCATACACGCAAACACACACACTACTGCATAGTGTGGCGGAGTTAATATCGCAAGCCCCCACTATGTGAAGAGGCTTGCGCCCAAGACATCCCCCCCGCGGCGGGTGGGCGGGGAGAGCTTGAAAAAGGCTTCACATGAAAATCTCATGCGAGGCTGAAACTCACACACTCATCACATTGCAGCAAACGACCTCCTGTGCACGAGAGGGTTTGTCGAGGCATTTGCTGCCCCTCCCTGGTCTCACACACTAAAACTTCGCAGCAACATAAACCATCGTGCAAGCACTAACTCATTATGCGACTATCTCACTCCGTAGGCGCTCAGTACGGCTCCCGTCCCAAATGTGAGGAGATTTTCATGTCATAATCCGTAAAAGCATTCGTGGGGCTCATGGTGACAACATCAGTGAACAAGCATCCGTATGCCAGTCTCTTTCAGCAGATGGGCAGGACATGGTTGATCCAAGTGACTGTCA